AGAGAGAGAGAGAGAGAGAGAGAGAGAGAGAGAGAGAGAGAGAGAGAGAGAGAGAGAGAGAGAGAGAAGGCAAAACGGAGAAGGAATACAGGTCAGAGAAACAAGCAGACACTGTCGGCCGAGAACAAGGGCGCAATTTTGACAAGGGCGTAATAATGGGAACGAAAGTTGGGGGATCGACGGCTATTAGATACCGTTCTAGCGTCTTCTCCTGAAAAGGGTGCACCCACATTAGGAATGTATCGGGCGCGAAACATAGCTGTATGCATTCATGATGGGGGTGTTCGGGAACGGAGAATTAGGAAAGCAGCAGCAAGAAACAGGGGACACGTCGATAGATATGGACAAGTAGAATGGAGAGAAAAAGAGGGAGAGAAGGCGATGGATACGGAAAGGTCATACCCCCCCCCGCCCCCGCGACGAAACCTTTGCATCCATTTCCCCCCAACCGGGGAAAAAGGTCCCGCAGGACCAAAAGTGATTTTGGGGTCTGCGGCACCTTCTTCCCATTTGGAGGGGAATGGATACAAAGGTATCGTCGCGTGGAGGTGTTATGACTTTTCCCGGATTGATAGGACGTGAACGGAGAGGAGAAGAAGAGAGAAGGAGAGAAGGAGAGAAGGAGAGAAGGAGAGAAGGAGAGACGGGGAGAAGAGAGAGAAGGTGAGATGGGGAGAAGGAGATAAGGAGAGGAACGAAAGAAAGTCAAACAGGGCATCGCGAAGGAGAGTGAGGAGAAAACCTGCCATGAGAAATTGAGAATAATTGTTAACGATCGAGCATGAGCAGAGGACGAAGATGAGATGACAATCATTGGTATCTGGGGCAGAGGAATTGCAGGCCGAGTTAAAAAAAAAAAAAAAAAAAACTTAACTACGAGCCCTAGGACGGTACTTCATTCAGGTCGGGACCGTTCGGCTGACTACGGGATGATGGAGCAGAGGATCGGGATATGCTGGGCTCCCTGCCACTCCAGATTCGCTGCCACCGTCTACATGACCTGATGGTTCTTTCGTCGTTCCGCCCTCGTACGCCCCCGCTCGTGCGCGTGTTTGCACTTGTGTCACAGCGCTCGTGCGCGTGCGCGTACTCGTGTTTGGACTTGTGTCACGGCGCTCGTGCGCGTGTTAGGACTTGTGTCACAGCGCTGGTGACAATGTGTGAGGTAGGATAGTAGACATAGGGTTGGGCTACGACTATTTTATTTACGCGAGGATGGGATGGGATGGGAGTGGGAGGTGGCCTCCGTCGTTGTTCTCAGGACAGCCATGATGGCTGACCGATCCCGGTAATCACCGGTGGGGCTATCGTCTTCCCACGAACACAACGCACCCTCATTTAAGCTGCGCCGGACCGGAAATATAGCTTGTACACATTCATTTTCAGGGTGCGTTATGTTCAGGGGAACATGGTAGTCCCTGGCCTCTACAACACCCTGGACTTCAAAGACACACACACA